TATATATATATTTATAAATATATAATATATAATAAAATATATCAAATTTCTAAAATTATAAATCTAAATTGCAAAATATAAAATACAAGTAAATAGAAAAAATGATAACTGTATTTTTAACTTGATTTTAATCGAATACAGAAAATAATCCTAGTGAAAAATATTTTACACAATTACATGATAATTTTTGAAATGGGCAAGATATGCAACTCATTTTATTTTTCATCACGTTTTATTGTAAGAAAAGCGTAACATCTATTTATTTAATTAATCTTCCCTTTACGTGGGCTATGATATGGAGTTTTCTTCGTACATGTTATAATACTGCTAATATCTTTGACTTATTTGGCATGAGGATGACGGTTGCATTTTTTAAAACATTCCATCGTGAATGCCGATAGGTACTAACACAGCTGTGAACAGTAACAAATTGCGAGCTACTAGTTTCCAATCATTCGGTACTGCATAAGGTGCCAAAACGCGAGTCAATCTATGAATCTAGAAGAAAGAATTTCAATAAGAAAAAAAAATTGTTTTTTAATTATCGTTAAAATTATAATTGCAAATATCAAAGTCAATATAAGAAATGATCTGTTTTTCTTACTTCGTGACTGGCACATATGAAAATAAACGACGTAACTAATAGGTTTAACACGGGGAATCTGGGTAATAGTACAAGTACTCCATGCGAATCTGCTGCCAACCATATATGGCCTTGCGCAACCAAAGTTTCCAAACTTATTCTACCCAATCCAGCTAAAAGTGCAGAGTGTTTTCCCCGTAATGCCAATGATGCATTTCGAAGAGCAATATATCCTACAATCTAATAGGTTACATTAATAATAAAATAGCAATATAAAAAAAATTAATAAATACAAGAAAAACGGTGAAAAATATAATATGATGGAAAGGAACAAATAATAAACGAGTTAAAGCAGTTTACCGGAATAAACGCAACGTAAGAATGAATTTCCTCGCATTCTGATACAGAGTGACACAAAATTGTGAAAGTAGTATACGCTATTAAGGAAATCAATGCCAGTATAGAAGACAATGCAGTGCTTGGAATGTGATCTACTCTCTGAAGAGCGACAAGACCAGCTCCGAAAGTCAAGCCCCAGACTACGCTGTATCTGTCGACTCTCCAACGAGACCACCATTCGCGGATATCGTCATCAGTTGTCACGAATAATGCTTTCCAGGGCCTCGTGACAAAAACTTTCTCAAAGAACACCTGCATTAATGAAACGTACTATATTTTAAATACATTTTCCAGAGAAAATAAATTTTTTTACCTACCTCCGACATGTATAATATGGTAATTGTTGATACAAGACCCAAGAGTTTTAGAGCAAAGTATAGCAAGGCTCTCGGTCCGTATTCTGTTAAACTTCCAGAATATATTCTGGGTGGTAACCAAGCTAGAAAGTAAATTACTAAAAACCAGAATGATACCAATGGTACGAAGTGATAAAATTGATATGGCCTGTTCATGCAAAGGCATAAGGATACTGTCAATAAATTTAATCTAAACATGACCTGAAACACAACAAACAGATTTGATTCCACTGGCGAAAATATGATTTTAATAACTTGAGTTTAAGTTGCGTAAAATAAAACTTTTTCTAGTACTTACTCTAGCAAATCTGACAAGAGACACATTGCCAGTTTGCCAAAAATAATAAAAGTGTCCGTATCCAGACAAGAATAAGTAGGCAGAATTAATTAGTCTTAAATACATATAGATGGGTAAGACATTTTTGGCACCAGTAACATGGTATATGAGCACAACCGCTTGCATTAAACCTCTCCATTCATCAGTTTGTTCTCTATTTAACACTCTCGGTCCTCTCTCGCGATCTTCAGTGAAAAATAATCCAAGAGCTAAGATATAACCAAGTGGTAGCCAAAAACTGAATTCACTGTAATATTTATTCTCCTTCATGAAAAAATTTGTTCTAAAAATGACATAAGAGAGCAGAGAATTATTAAAGCTATTGCAATAGCTATTTAATAAGACAAGATTACAAACCTGTCGCATAAGTAAAAATATGCTAATATAATTGAAAAGAGAGCCAGTGATGTAACGAGGGTATAGAAATCTTGTACCTCAGGTTGCTTGATTTGAATGACTTCCGAAGTGCCTGCTTCTTCCGTGTCACTTACTTCCTCAGTGGTAACATGAGAATAGGATACTTCAGAACGATACCTGTACAATTTTCTATACAGCCATACACCCCCTCCTATTGTTACACTATAAAAGATTATTAAAAAAAAATTGTTTTCCATAAGAAGAATAAATAAATCATCGAATTAACGTACAAATAAAATATTAGATACTCAATTACAATAATGCAAGCGCAGATAGAGTTAACAATTGTAAAGTAGTTGCTGGCTCGGGATAACTGCAACAACTGCCATCATCGAAATTCATATGATCATTGCAATATGTATTTAATAGTATTTGAACTTTATGCCGAAGTGATAATGGACTCGCCAAATAACCATCTGGACTTTGTTCAAGAACACCCGTACCGACTAATTTGCTGCTTTGCCATATACGAGCCTCACTGTGAGATAATATCTGTATGCAGCGATTATAGAATATTTATCTTTTCCTTTATATTATCAGGTAAACATATCGTCGATGTTACCTTTTCGGCTGCTTTGTTGCACAAGTTGATCTGTTTGTTGTCTAAACTCGACAATTGTGCGGGCAGTCTTTCCTTGAGCACAGGATCTTGTAAGAGCCATAGAAATTGAGAACCCTTTTTAGCCAAAAAATCTATCGGCTGTACTAGTCGAATCAAACCTGTATTGTATTCCGAATAAAGTTGCGTATCACTGTTATTATTTGCAAGAATCACAGCTGCAGCAGAGCCTGCGACAATTACACTAGGTGCATCTGTCTTCTATAACAAAGATTAATGTAAATTTCACTATTTCATCCTCTGATTCAAACTCCCTTATGTCTGTATTTATACAATTTATCCATCTACTTATTGTATAATATAAATATATATGTGCCATACCATCCAGCTTCTAAGGTCTGCTGTCATAGAATTATCAAGTCGTGGCCTCCATAGAAATTGTACGTTTAACTTGAGTTGTTCATCATTAAAGCCCAAGTCGGAGTTTTCCGGCAGCTCCGTAAGATCGGATGTTTTACCATCGACCATAAATTGTGAAACAAATGATTTATATAATTGCCTTACTCTAGCATCACCAATAAATACAAAATGATTATGGTGGCCCATGAAAGCTAGATATCTCATACATCTTCTGCTGTCTCTGTGAAATTTGGCGTAAATTTTTTCTATATGAAAGTTAATGTCTCTTTATAAAATAAATAAAAAATAATCTTACGTTTGCGTATAGTGGTGCATCATGCAGCCGTATGGTTGCCATTCCTTATCTCCTTTGTATCTGCCTTCTGTCAATAACCATTTGCAAGAATCGCTACCTATGACAAAAGTTAATAATCTGTTTGTATGTGTGCCAATAAAATAAGTAAATTACTTGTATCATTAGAATAAAAAAATGAAAAATATAACATTGCAAAAATTGTTTTTATAAATTTGATGGTTATTGTTAATTTTTATACTTTGCAAATGTTTCCACTATATTTACCATAAATAAGATGTATGACACCATGATATACAATAAAACAGACAACAAGCGCAGTAGCTAATTTCTTTGCACTTGTTACCGTTATAAGACTAATAAAATGTTCGGCCGATGTCATGAAGGGATCCGATCGATATATGTATCTCGATTACATCGATACTGCAAAATAAAATTGTAGGTACTTGTGTAAATACTGTATACTTATTTACATGTATGTACATACATACATCAATATCTGAATTTTGCATACCTAATACCTAATAAAGCAGGATGCTCCGCTCAGACAGAAATTGTACTATATTGCAATCGCCCTCCGATATAATGCAACAATCCTTTCACGTTACGAGAAAAAAGGTGAAACTTATCTGAATTCTTATCGTTGTATAAATATAATGTCTTTTGAAATATACTATGCGGTCATAAAATAATTTTTATAACTTGTTTAGCATGTCGAACAGCATAGCAAAATGGTTTGTATAAAAATATCGCGAGCTTCAGTTTTAGTGCGATTTTGCAATTAGTGCGGTAAAGTAACATCACACATTAGTCACATTTCGCATCACCGTGCCGGGTACAAGTATATATCGATATAGGCGATATACCAGTATACCATACCATACCAACCGCAACTGCAAACTGCAAAGAGTGCAAAGTGCCGTACGGCTGTATCGCTGTATGGTGCTGCAGCGCCGCAGCTGCTCATTCGGCAGTCGGCTCACTGCTGCCTGCAGTGCAGTGCAAACGGTACAAATAGTGCAAATAGTGCAATGCAAAGGCAAAGCAGTTAGCAGCTAAGCAGCTCGCTGAGCGATCAAACACGATTGGCTCTTACCAATTTTTAGTTATACATAGATCCAAATGAAAACGGTGTCCGCGATGGCGCACAGCACACTTATAGCACACCTATCCTATAGTAACCTATAGTGTTCGAGTTCCTGTAGACAGTAGCAGGCAGTAGCTAGTAGCAGCAGCAAGTACTGCCAAGTAGCACCCCGCGGTCTCAGCATTGGGCAGCATTGGGCAGCAGTGGCAGCGATGGCAGCATTGGGTGGCATCAGCGCCGCTGATTGGCGGCCGTGCGCTTTCGTGACATTTGCGATTGTCTGCGATTCGATGTCTACCTCGGTCGCTTTTGGTCGCCTCGGTCCGCCTTTACTATTGCATAGGTCATATGATTCTGTCATTCGGTCTTACGCGAAATTGACGAGTTGTCAGTGTGCGCCAATTGTCATTCCTGTCAGCGATTATCGGGCACGTTTCACGTATACGTATATACGTATG